TGCATGCATGGAACACATGTGAGAGCGGCAGGTAAATCCCAAAAACATTGGTTTTGTCTAGCCCGACGTGCACTGTGATCAATCAAGCTTCAAACACATTTCAAAATCTGTTCCATCCAGTACGGTGGGGCGTTTTGAGCAACATTCTCGGTGTCAACAAACCAAAAAACTAAAAACAAAAATTTCGTAGCCAATCTCGTAACGCATCAATTGGATGATATCAATTCGAAAAAACACAATAGCATCAGGGTGTGGAAATAGGATATCAGATGTAAAACAACCGCAATGCCGAAGAACAGTTATCGAACAGGAAGGCCGGTCACTATTTTTTTTTTTTTGCACATTATGCTCAGCTATCTTGCCGCGCATGCACTTGTGCGGCAATTCTTCATTGCAAGCGACGCCCTGCAAGCCTTCGATTCGGTGCCAGCGCTGGTCGACTTTTTGTGTGACCGCATCAGAACTGCGTCGCAAGGAAATGACGAGTGGCAACGTTGCGCTCGAGCACTCCACGAACTTCTCAGATCGCCCGATTTCCAACCGACGGATGGTTCGCCGATTCACAGGTCTCTGACGCGTCTGCTGGAGGTTCTACCGCAGCGTTTCTCAAAATCGCTCGCGCGAGAGACTGGGTGGGCATTCACTCTGGTCGTTGATGTTCTTGGCAAGCTTCCCCAGAGTGATGTAACCAACGTTGCTGCAAACACTGCTGCCATGTGGTGGACGTCCTCTGAAGCGCAGGACGCCGTCGAGGATGTGCTGAAGGTGGCTATTGTCGCTGCCCTGGAGCTGACGCTGCTGCGACCCGAACTGCGCGAACAGCTGCGGGAGAAGGTTTCTTCGCTGGCCGAGCTCTCCAAGAAACCCAATTTGCAAGCGGCCGTCCTCGAGCTACTCGCCATTCTTTGCTACGATTCGGCTGAGGCGCAAGAAGCAATGACACCCGTGACCGAGCAGCTGCTTGGGCCGTTGCTCAAACCAGATCTCCGCCATCTCGGCGCGGCATTCCGCAAGACAAGGTCTGATGAGCAGCCTCCGGCAACAACTCTTTCACTACCTCCCCTGCTTCAAAAGTTCTCCAGCAACAACCGCCAAAAGCAAGCGAGCTTCAAAGTGTCTGCTGCACTCAAGCTCCTCGAGCGGCTTGCCTACATTGTTCCGGCTGGCACATCAACACTCGATGATGCGTCCTCGACGGTCAACGCTTCTGATGAGCTCTTTGACGCAGCTTCTCGGTGGAACGGCCAGGGGTCGTTTGCCGAGGCGTCTGGACAGTTGTGCTGGAGGGTTCGTAATATCGGTGAGCGTACCTCGCAGCTGACCAACTCGCTGGACAGTGTGTTGGATGCACTCAATCACGCCACGATTGAGCAACCTTCCGCTTCGCCAGCTACTGCGACAGGATCATCTGGAAACCTTTTCGTCCTCCGCCCTGGCTTGCGCGCTTTGGCTAACATTTTGTACGCCAACCCTCCCGCTCAGCAATACGTCAAAGCGGGTGACGGTCTGCAAGTGGTGCAGAACGTTCTTGAACTGATGAAGCGCTCAGAGTCTACGCGCGACCATGAGTGGACGCGCATTGTGGTGGCTTGTTCTGACGTTGTTGGCAACTTGCTGTTCGGCGATGCCTTGGCCCAAGGCTCAGAGACTGTTTCGAGGATCGTTTCGACATTGCTGCAGCTGCTTTCCCAACTTTCTCTGAAAGACGGAGCCGTGGTTGTCAAAAACGTCTGTGTCAGCACCCTTCTCAGCGCGACAGCGCGCGTAAGGCTGCTGGGCCGCTCCTCGCTCGCCAATCTTCGCAACTGGTTGCATCGCCGAGCGCATGTGGCTCCAAAGCAAGAAGCGACCACTGCGGCGTCGTCCCTTTCTCTTGTACTTCTTGCGACGCTGAAGGACGCCGCACAGGAGCGAGATTGGCTCACAGAGTGGGTCATGGCCGCATCAGCATCATTGGACGTTTTCGTCGCTTCCGCGCCCTTGCAAGGTGATCGGGACATTGTTGTGACAGATGCTTTGATGCGCGGATGTGAGGCGCAGCTGTCACAAGAGCAGTGCAAACCTCTTTTTCCCAAGTTTGTTCGATCGCGATGGGTACCGCCGTCTCCCCCGCCGTCCGTCGTTGGCCTCGAGGGACAGAATGACGCCCACGACGACGATGATGATGCCACCGAAATTCGACGATCTGCTGGCAGCATCCTGCACGAGCTCTCCTCAGAAGCACTACGCGTCATGGACGAGCTTTGCCGCTCCGGTCTCAAGGCTACACTTGCTGCGCCCTTCGCGAGGAATCTCTGTGAAGGCGATTGGTACGAGCGCGAGACACGCGGTTTTCACGTTTCTCGTTTCGTCCAGACGAGCGTTGAGGCGGATTCATCCCCCGTGCTTTCGAGTGACATGGAAGCTGCCAGAGCTGCTGTCGTTCCGGATTTGGATGCCATGGGCATTGCCGTCGAGACCCTCGCTCAGGCTTTCCGCGAAGTGCGCCTTGCAACGCCTCTCCTTCAAGCCGATCTGGCCGAGTGGCTTTCCGCCTCGCTGGCGAGCTCGCCGTCGCTCTTGCTTCGCGAGGGCGTATTCAACACCATCGAGCTGTATGGCAACTCGCGCGCTCCGGTGGCGGCTCCATTACTTGGTAGCGGGGCCACAAATACTTGGCTGCCTCTGACGATTCCTTCTTCTGAAGGCAGGGAAACGCTCAATGTGAGTGGCTACAATTATGATGGCTCTCTGCGTGACTTCCAGCGCTACTGGGCTGGTCATCCTTTAGCTGAGCTCTTTGACCGCCTTGGCGGAGACACTGGTCCTGACTGTGAGGAGCTCTGGTACCACGCCACCACGCAAACTAATGCAGCAAGCATTTTGCACGGTCGCTTCGACCTTAACGAATGCCGATCAGGGCTCACCTTTTCAAGAGAACAGGCGGCGTATTTCAATCCCAGCTACCGTGACGCCATTGTGTACTCCTCCGACACACACCTCCAACCGTCGCCTGCGCTTCTCATTTATCGTGCAACGCGCGCGCAAATGGCTGCCGTGGGAGAGGTGCGTGTGTTGGCGGATGGACGGGAGTGGAGCGACTACATTCGACTCGTCTTCCCTCGCACTCGCCGCCCCTTGCCATCTTTTGTGGCCCCGCCGTTCGTGATTGGCGCACAGTTGCAAAATCGCTTGAGACTGGCTCGTGAGGAACCTACGCCTCGCACAGACGGTGGTATGATCCAGCATCTACTAGCAATCACGACGGACGCCGCAATGGACTTTTTCGAGCGAAAACTTGTTGCTGTGATGTATTTGGGATACCGCTAGTTGTTCTACGAGAGGACGACGGCTGTATGTGCGGAGTGTGCATTGATTTTGAGACGCTTTCCCCCGAATGATGATTGACATTTTTGTTGTG